ATGAAAAGGGGTGGGGGTGGATGCAGGGAGCACGGGGTCCGACTTTTTGGGGGAGGGAAAACAAAGCAAGAGAAGGAGAAAGGCTTACTGAACAGGGAGAAGCCCTCAGAGCTCTGAGCAAACACACCCATTGCCAGCCATTTTGAAAGAAAGACAGACAGACAGACAGACTTTTTATAAAAGTTTATTAAGGGAAAAAGGGGGTAACAATCCAACAAGGAAAAACAAAATACAGCCCAAGTAGGGGCCCTGATACAACAGACAGAGCCTGAGCCTTTGGCATGCAAGGCCTGCCCTCACAGTCTAAAACCAAAAATATCCAGTACAACATCAGCCTACTGAGACCCCTGCTGGTACCCTGGGAAGGGGCTAGCAGTATCATTGTGCAAGGACTAAAAAGCCACCCTCAACACTGCAGAGCACCCCCTGAATGGCCCAACATGCCTGGAAGACAGGAACCATCCGCTGGAGGACCACATGCTCAAACTCCAATGACAGGCGTGCCCGTACCAAAAAACTGGAAGAGTTGCAGGATGTCATCTGAGCCGGCTCCAGCAAGCCAGTTCCTGCAGCTCTTGAGTTTAGCCTGGCCAAGTAAGAAGTTGGCACTCATATGAGAACAGTTCCTGGTAGAAGGTGATGGCATGGCATCGGATCTCAACAGGATCTGTGAATGTTTGGCCATCTGGAGTCTTAAAATGATCAATGACCTTCTTCATGGGTCATCATTTCTCAAGGCTGAAGAAGAAGTGAGTTGGGCATCAGTCTCTGCCAGTTCTTGACAGTGGGTGCGGACCCTCATACCCCAGGCTGCACTCTGCCAGCTCCCACAGATGTTGCTTGCAGAGTTTAAGACTCTCAAGCAGCCCTGCATCACTGTCAGCATCATGCAGGGCCACCTCAAGTTGCATCACATCCTTCTTCCAACTTCCAAACACAGTGGAAGAGCTCGCTTGTTGACAACTGCATGTACTGCTGACAGAAAACTCTAATCTGCACCCTTCCTACGTCTCACCATTGCTTCTAGGAGGGAAAGGTGACTCTTGTGGCCTCCCATGTCTGCCAGAAGTAAGCAATGCAGTCACAGAAGTGAACATCCTGCAACAAACTAGTGTTGAGGCACCAGTAGGGTGAGCGGGAATTCAGCCTGCCAGGAAGGCTCAGTGCACAAGAAACCAGGCTGTGATCTGATAGTCCTGCCAGGGTAATACAGCTGCTGTGCAGAAGTGATAGGTGGTGCCTGGTGACATACAGGCAGTAAAGGCCTGCCATAGAGAGTCCACTGGCAGTCGCCTTCAGGCAGGTATACTGCCTCACATTGGCATGGAGATAGTGCCAGACATCAAGGTCCACTGTCTCCAAAGCGGTCCACACCTTCTGGGCAGAGGATGGATGGGGCTCTGGCCCATTCTAGTCAAGCTGTGCATTGACTGTGCAATTAAAGTCCCTGCCTAGGAAGAGAAGCTCATCACTATCAGCTGTGCTCTGCAAAAATATAGCTGGAGTCTCAAAGAAGACAGTGCATTCTCATCCAGCAGTGGGCGCATAGATGTTAATAAGGAGGAGGTGATGTTGCTTATGCAAAATCTATAATGCTGCATCCCTGGATTGGAGTGCAGCACCACTGCTGCAGCCTTAGTGAACAGCACAAACATCTTGGGCTCCGATAACCATTCTAGACCTGGTCTGGTCTAGAAACTCAATAAAGCATTCAACAGAGTAATCAGCAGAGGGAGGTTCCTCAGAAGCAGGAATAGTTCCACTTCCCCTATTGAGAGGGGCACCTTAGCTGAATCAGGCAACACCACCTCCAAAGGCAGGACTTCTGTCAACTCATCTGCAGAGGCAGAATCAAAATCAGGCACCAGGAGCCACTGAGCCCCAAGGGAATTACTTGCCCTCCCACCAGGACTCTCAGCATCAGGCCCTATAGGAGCAGCATCCTCCAAAGGGGCCTGGAGTGGGGAAGGCATCAATCCCTGATCTCTTGGGTAGGGTGCTCTTGTGGGCTGGGCACTCTTGCTCCCATTTGCAGCTCCCAAAGGGTCCAAACTCTGTATCAACCTTGTCAGGCTCAAGGAGCTGAGATTTTTGGGGGGGAGGGCGGGGCTGTCAGACTCCCCCACCACCTCCCCTACCTCCAGGTCACCCCCAAGTACTACAGGGTTGGGGGGGGGATACCGAGAAGGCAGGAAGAGAGGGAGGGCCCTGCTCACTAAACTCAGCTCCCCTCAAAGTGGTGGGGAGGTCTTGAGGGAATACCAAGGCCTTTTTAGAAGATTCCTTTTTTCTGGGACTTGCCCTTCACAGCGGGAAGGGCCAAATCCTCCCCTGAGGGGGGAGAAAGTGGGGGAGGGGAGCACCACCACAGAGCTAGCAGACTCTGATGAAACGGGGAGTGACTGGGAGGAAGGCCCTTCCCACCACCTGATGGAGCTGCCGTTTTTTGAGAGAAAACAAAATACAATCTGAGGGAGGGGGAGGGAAGTGCAGGGGGAGACAATTACTGCAGGAGAAAGGTCTGAGAAAAGCAGCAGGGGGAAGGCAGAAAAAAGTAATGAAAAGTAGGGGACTACAGTGAGAAAGGGGTCAGATTGTCTGGGGGAGAGAAAACAAAGCAAGAAAAGGAGAAAGTCTCACAAAACAGAGAGAAGTGCTCAGAGCTCTGACCAAATATACCTGTCGGTGGCCATAAAAGCAGACAGACAGATGGACAGACAGAAGTTTTGTGCATGTCTTATTTAAGTTTTTATCTGAACAAAACAGCACACCAGGGAGAATTCTTTGCTCAAGTGCAGCACACAGAAACACAAGTCAGCCCTAAATACACATTGCATATACCCTTGTTTGAGTGTTGAATGCTACATGATTTCTACCCAGGACCTGTCATTTTTCTAGCACAGGGGCAAATGGTAGCGATCACTAGCTGCATGGTTGGGATAGATTTAGACAAGAAAAAGCTATTCCATACTATTCTGTCCTTATTTGGATGTTCTTATTCCATGCTATGGTCAGCTTACTCCATTTGACTTAACCTACACAAAGTTCACATGAAATACGCATGAAATAAGAGTGCCCACATGGGGAACTACTGCACAAGACCTATTCCAGGAAGATCTCTCTGTACAAATAAATAAGCCCACCGTCCAGAGGCCTCTCCTGATAGCAAATACCTACATGTTCTTTTTCATAGGGCTAATCATGTGCTGCTGCCATTACTTCTGGACCCCCTTGCTATATAATAGCTAGCAGTTAGAGCACTTGCTCAAGAAATGAGAGGCTCACATTCAGTTCCACCCCCTCAGCTTACAGGGGTTCAAATCCACATCTCCCAACTGTTTCATAGCTACTCGTGCTCAGTTCAGTATCTGAAAGAGCCATTCCTTTAATTGATTTTAAATTCTTGTGTTTATCTGAAGAAGGAGAAGGCCTCTAACAATGAGTAGGGAATGCAGCCCCTGTGCTTTCTTCCATTTGAAGAGAGAATAAATAAAATAAACAGCTTTTTTAAGATGCCGAGACAAACACATCTGTCATTGTTCATTACTCTTTAGAGCGGGGTCCAGAGATGGGAAAAACAACAGGTGGCCATGTAAAGAAGGATGACATGTAGACTCAATCCAGTTGGTAATAGCAACAAGGGCATTGGACTGTTGTTGTAATCACTGGGTCTTTGGAAGCATGGGTGGAGAACACCTGCTGATCCACTTCAGCTCTTCCAAAGAGACAAGTGAACCGGCTGCTGTCAGCTCTGGATGACAGCATTGTACCTAGATACCTGGTGGCCCTAGGTGAACTTTTAATATTGGGCCCCCCTTCACCAAAGATGATGATAATAATAATTTAAAAGTAACTATTTTTAGGCCCCCTTTTTGTCTTGGCCCTAGGCGGCTGTCCAGTTTGCCCATGCCTGTGTCTGGCCCTGCTAGATGATAAATACATTGTCTACTTCCCCCTTTCCAATATGTACCCATTAGGCTCTCCATCGCAGAACAAGCAACATGGTGATGAATGTAATGAGAGCCCACACTGCTTCTGCTGCATCAGCTCCCTCGCCACAGATGCCCCTTTCGTGGAGCTGAATGAGTCTAGCAAAAATAAGGCCCCAAAACCTGACCCTATAGCCCTTATTCAAGTGACTTCATTGGGACAGCTGGCCATGCTCATTCTACAATAAATTAATGAATTCCTAAAGCAGGTGATATTCTGTATCCCAAATCCTCCTGACTCTAGGGTGCCTAGCCCTTCAAAGTCCTGGTTTCTTCCCACATGACTGTTCTCATTTACAGGCTTCTTGCCTCCCTTTATACTTTTGGAGATGAAAAGCGGGCTTTCATTCAGACCTCAGTTCATTCTGCCTGTTAGCAGATGTGAAAAGCTAAGCCACCCACCTGGCCAGTAGTACTGCCACGGTCTACTAGTACTGGATACGATAAGGACAAAGACGGAATGATCACAGTCTTCTATATACAAGTTGTTTGTCTACCATGGCACAAAAAGCTGGGGAACCGAGTTTCCCAAAGAATCCTTCCATTCCAAACAGGTACGTTTTGCAAGATTCATTTTTAGAACAATAGTTTTCATGTGAAATTGACCTGCCAGCTTGACCAGCTCTTCCAGATGTTTATCATTTGATCTTAAACTCTTCACTCTAAAGCTTCAGATCTTAACTTGCTTCCAGTATTTATAGATATAAACCTCAAATGATTTAACCCAATCAACACTAGGAGGTTTCAGGAAAACATCCAAAAAGCAAAAGTAGGTAAAGATAGGCATGCTTAGGAGACTGTCTCATAGATATGACAAAGAACTCATCCCATCCTTTCCAATGCTGAAGAAAAAATAAATAAAAGTGCCCAGACAAGTCCCAAGAAACAAAACAAAGCAAAAAAAACCCAAACCATGAATCAATTTTAAAAAGCTAGAAAGTTCCCACAAAGCAGAATAACTTAGAGATGCATTTCTAGCAAAGATAAATGTTTTGAATATACTTTACTTACAGATGTTGCGAATATATGTCTCCAAATGGTCCAGTCTCTCAATTACTGCATTTTCTTGGTTAAACGATCGAGGATGAACCTCTAAGTATCCCTGTCTCTCCTTTCTCAGCTCTTGTATTATGTTCTTCACATAAGTCACAAGAAAGACATTCACAAAGGAGACCAGAAGCAGTGCAATTGGTGTGAGTCCTGGAAACCTTCTGCAGGACACCATCGTATCTTGCTATATAAAAAAAAATATCCCTGGCCTGGGTTGTAATTATGGTTCCAGATGTGTGCAAGTCACTGATTCCCCATGCAAGAGTCTCAAGCAAGCCTCTTTAAAGCACATACAGAAATCATTCATGTAGAATAACTTCTCTGAACTTGAATGAGTCAAGGAGCAAGCAGGCAGTGACAACATATCTGACCTCAAAGGAATAGGCGTTTTCAGCTTCTTCCCTCAACAGTATATGAGCTACCCATTAGTGGGAAAGTATGCAGCTGGAACAAACTTCCCTTTTGACCTAAAGGGTTTGATTGTTCTCCTGTGGTGCCTGCAGCAGAACATGTTTGTAAGAATTTCTAATGTAGCACATGCGCAAGCACACAAGCACACACACGAAAAATACCTGTAAGGAAATCCTTCACTGCCAGACTGACTGTCAGTGAAGGATTTGCTTACAGGTTTTTTTTCTGTGTGTGTGTCTGTGTGCTTGTGTATGTGTTGCCTAATTAAATTTGTCTAGCTATGCACATGAAACAGTAGAATCATAGTTATTGTGTTCCTGGTTAGAGACATCTCTATAAAACTGCAGAAAAGCAAATGGTTTGAGAAAGTTTAGCATTTTAGGGAGCTTAACAAAAGGAAGCATCCACTCAAGATTATCAGCTTGAGGAGACGCAGGGGCCATGTCTACACAAAACACTGAACGCACAGTTGTTAGACACATTACTATGCAGCGACATATGGCTTTTTTGTGACACTGACTACACCCAAGACTCCTGCACATTAGCGTTGCTTCACATTTTCTGCCACACAACACTACTGTGCAGTATTCTTGGGCTACTGTGCAGTCAGCATCTTGTGTAGACATGGCCTGGTTCTACTATAAGGTTCTTATTGGAGCTCGGAGGCATAACAGATTCTTAGGGAGCAAACACGAACAAGAGAGACTCTTCTATCTGTGCTAGGAAAGGCAACTGTAGCCACTTTTGTTTTCCTTTGTCAAGATGTAGAGGTTGTTACTATGATGTTTTGCTTTTGGATTAGACTAATGTACTGAATGCTACAAGGAGCCACATCTTGAGAACTTCCAGCAGCTGGGCTTACAGTGCAAGGAAGCTTCTGGCCCATTAAGCCCAGCTTTACACACAGTACATGTTACACTGAGAAGAAAGGTATATGAGTCCAGACAGAGTGCCTTACATTAATGTGACTATGCAGCTCCCATTGGCTGAATGAGCATCAGAATTAGTTAGCTTGGTCATCTGTAATAGGATGACCTCTATGTACTAGAAGCTGTAAAGGAAGAGGTACAAGGGACAGATCAGTCTATACAAACCCTATATATATATTCTACCCCTTAGCATTGACACTGCCACTGAGATGAAAGATACTGGATTAGATGGATCTCTGGCATGGCACCTCTTATAGTTTCATAGTAGGTAGGGTCGGAAGGGATCTAAGCAGATCATCTAGTCCAACCCCCTGCCATGGGCAGGAAAGGATGCTGGGGTCAAATGACCCCAGCTAGGTGTCTATCTAGCCTCCTTCTGAAGACCCCCAGGGTAGGAGTGAGCACCACTTCCCTTGGAAGTTGGTTCCAGATCCTAGCCGCCCTGACAGTGAAGTAGTGCCCCCTCATATCTAGCCTGAATCTACTCTCAGTCAACTTATGGCCATTGTTCCTTGTTATCCCCGTAGTACTTGGGGGAACAGGGACTCTCCCATGGCCTGCTGGTCCCCCTTGGCAAGTTTATAGGCGGCCACCAGATCCCCTCTCAGCCTTCTTCTGTGGAGACTGACCAGGTTCAGGTCCCATAGCCTCTCCTCGTAGGGCCTGCCCTGCTGCCCCCAATCATGTGAGTGGCCCTTCTCTGGACCCTCTCAGTGCTGGCCAGGTCCCTACACACTCGGGGGTGGAGATCGTCAGGGCCCGCTGATTTGAACACATCTAGTCCCTCCAGAACTTCCCTGACTAGGTCCTCACTGACTCTGGGCCTGGCTGTGCCTCCCCTGGGTCCATCTGGTATCCCAGTGGGGCAGATGTCCCTGTCTCTGCTCAGAAAAATGGAAGCAAAGAATCTGTTAAAGAGATTAGCATTGTTGCCTGGTGCTACCACCAGATTACCAAGCATGTCCTGCAGAGGCCCCACATTATTTGGTACCTTCTTTTTACCCCCCATGTATTTATGTTAAGATATTTATATGCTTCTGTAGTACTTCTGAGGGCACTGAAGGAGAGACATGTCCTACTCAAGCCCCTCCCCAACTCTCACTCCATATATACCAAACTCAGAAATTACCTATGAAGGTAATCTCCTCTCACAACCTTTCTGTAACATCCTGGAGGGACATAGCTTGAGGTTGGCAACAGGGAACACACTTAGTGTGACTCCATCACTGCATCCCCTCCAGCTTGGCACAGATGAACAATGGGTGGGTAGGGCTGTGAACCTCAGGAGTACCATCAGGAGCACTGCCAAAGCTTAACAGACATACCCTCAGTGACACTGCATTGATTTATTAGATAATGATTACCTTAATGGAACAAATATTTACAGCAGCATATAAAATTAAATGGAAAGGCAACCGACATAGCAATGCTGTGCTGATCTTGCACAGCTCTTAGAATGCTGTGACATAGTTACTACTTTTAATGCCTACAATTTATCAGGGCCAATATCTACCATCCTAATTACATATATTGTCAGCCTGTGTACTAGATCACTAGGGCTAGGTACAGTCAGTCAAAAAGCCTGAGGCTGAATTGATTCAGTCTTTGCAGGTTAGTCCAAGTTGCACAGATTAAATTGACACAGAAGTGAACAGACATCTACCTTTGATACAGAAAATGTAACCACATGCCTGCAGTGGCTCAGGCCAGAAGCCAGGGAGTGCTAAAGCACAGCTCTCTTCCTGTGTTTATTTCCTCTTCCTGCTGCCCCAAGGTCTCTAAGATTTCCAGACCAGAATTACAGTACCATGACTCCGCAGGGCTGCTCACCATTTCCTCTTTCTGCTTCCAGGTACATCTAGGATTTGTAGTCCACAGTTGCAGCCAGCAGTAAGTTTGAGTGAGGGAAGCAGTGTTTAACACCCCTCCTTGGCCTCTGGCCCCTGGTCTCTGGCCCCAGGCCACAGCTAGGGTTTGCCTGGGGGGCAATCCCCCTCTCCCTCACAGACTGGGCTACATCCCCAGCCAGGTTTGCTCCCCCCACTCTCCTCTTGTCAAACAGCCCTCACTGCTCCAGTTAATGAACAGAGGGGTGGGGCCACCCCTGCTCCCTGAAGCAGACAGTATAGCCCAGTGCTGCAAAGTATGCTGGGATGCTGAGGGACTCTGATTTAACTTGAACTGGGAAGGGGTCTGGGACAGAAGTTTCATAAATTGGTTTGACCCAAATCAGTTAAGTCTGATAGTACATTCAAGCAGGTTTATCTTTAACCAGTTTCAGCCATTTTGAAACTGGTTTATCTGCACTGAGCTTCTGTTCATAGATTCATAGATGTTAGGGTAGGAAGGGACCTCAATAGATCATCGAGTCTGACCCCCTGCATAGGCAGGAAAGCGTGCTGGGTTTAGATGACCCCAGCTAGATGCCTATCTAACCTCCTCTTGAAGACCCCCAGGGTAGGGGAGAGCACCACCTCCCTTGGGAGCCCGTTCCAGACCTTGGCCACTCGAACTGTGAAGAAGTTCTTCCTAATGTCTAGTCTAAATCTGCTCTCTGCTAGCTTGTGGCCATTATTTCTTGTAACCCCCGGGGGCGCCTT